CTTCCGCTGCTTCCGGTCGTGCGTATGTGGGGTAAAGCAGCGGGGCTTTTATTATGCCACAGTCGAGCGCTTCCGCTGCTTCCGGTCGTGCGTATGTGGGGTAAAGCAGCGGGGCTTTTATTATGCCACAGTCGAGCGCTTCCGCTGCTTCCGGTCGTGCGTGTGTGGGGTAAAGCAGCGGGGCTTTTATTATGCCACAGTCGAGCGCTTCCGCTGCTTCCGGTCGTGCGTGTGTGGGGTAAAGCAGTGGAGCTTTTATTATACCACAGTTTATCATACTAGATACATTTAGTTCTGTTATAATGCTACTCTGTGCGGTCGTCACCGGTCTATTAAAACACACAACATATTAAAGCATCTTTGCTGTTTCCGGAAATCGAGGGGTTATGATGTCATTAGCAGGCGACACAATGACACTATAGACATGCTCCGTGTCACTAGTTAAAATTGCTTATTTCTCTGGATTCTTTGAAACATTTGGGATAATATAAGTACACAAGTCAGCAAAATATATAACACTGTTCTAGTGGTTTTTGGATATTTTATTAAAAAAATCTTGCATGTTGTGCCTTTAAAGCAGAAGGTTCTAAGGTCATGAGACGCTTTGTTCAGTGTGTCTAAACTTTTGTCTGGTGATGTAGATAGATCAGGTGGGACGCTGCTGTTTGTTATTCTCCCAGAAACCAGATGATCTGACTTTGACAAACACGCGGCGGATCTGTGAGGGCTTTGTGGTTTCAGGTTAATGATGGGCCTCGTCTGCTTTGGCTTTCGGAGCCGTGGAGGCTGAATCCATCAGGGACGCTGACATGTCCTGGCTTGCTGTCCTCTCTTCTCATTGTTGTTGTGTGTGGTAATGAAGGTACCGCAGCGAAGCCCAGACTCGTCCTACAGCCCTGCTTCTGCTGGAGCTCGCCAACCAGGTACTGAAATACACGCTTTCTTTCTCTGCTGCTTTATTATTCTTTAGCAGTGCTTTGCTCGGGTCTCCAGCAACATAATTAACCCAGAAGATTCAGAGATTCATTGGGAGTTTTCCCAGTCTGTTAGTACTTATAAAAATTGGGCTAATGGTTCGGCCTATTAACCAATGATTTCATGCAATTATCCTGCATGGAAAAATAGTTGAGTGTCATTATCATAAGTGACATTCACAAATGCGTCTGACACGGAGGTCAGTGGTTAATATCTCTGTTTAGGTGTGCTGTTTATATATTGAAGCTCTCTCTTTGTGCTGGAGTGGCCGTCCTGATTTCACCTTACTGCCTTTAAACATGTCCATGTTCAGAGCGCAGCGTTTGCTCACACTGATCTCAGTGATGACACCTCTTCCATTCATTACTGACCGAACCATGAAATCGGATCTGTTTTCTCCCAAATTCATTCATTTTTATTTGGTTTATTGTTTTGTTTTATTTTACAGATTAAAATTGTTATTTTTAATAATCAAAAGCATGTCTAATCAGTTAAATTAGTACATTTTTAATGAAAATAGGGCCCTATTAAATCTATTTAATTATTAATTTTTATTATTATTATTTATCTTTTTTTAATTCTGTGTTGTTTGATGTTAGCTGGATTTGATTTAATACAAATGTATTATCAAAAACTGGTAATTAAGTAAATGCATAAAACTTTAAAAAAATAATCAAATAGAAATTAAACAATGTCTTTTCTGTTTTGGCAAACAAGGTGCTGCACATCAGAGATTTACAGTTTAAAGGAGTCATGAGCTGGCTGTTTTTATTATTACAACTTATGACGTTCGTGTGATTTCTACATTCAAAAACATCAAAATCAATAAGTAATAGGCTGTTTTCTACCCTATCCCCTTCTATCCCCTATTCTATCTCTTATATATCAAAAGCTCAAGTAAAAGTTGATTTCTCAGTTCATGACCCCTGTAAGGTAAACATGGACAAAACATTGTGAAACTAAAAGAGACACTTTCTAAGAAACCTGCATTTATAATACATTATATAAGTTCATTTTAAGGCATTACAAAACATGCATATTGTCATATTGTCACTTACAAATGTTATATTTGTAGCGAATCAGCTCATGGGGAAATATGAATAATTAACCATAACTAGTTATAATTAACTATTCATATTTTAGATCCACTGTAGATATTTAGCTGACCACTCAGGGTCAACCGTCTTGTCAATTCTAAGAACGTTAATTTCCTGGTTAAAGGAAATAACTTTCTTACTGCACAATTCTATAAGTTTGTAACGTAAATCTGCATGATTATTGACTCCGGTTATGAGTAAACAATGAACACGTCAAGTGTGATACAAGTAAGGTTTTATTAACTACATAAACACTTAAACTAGTCCAACATACTACATAAACACATTAAGCCAGTCTAACATACACATACACACACACACACATACAGTTGGTATAGGAAAGGGTTAAAGTTTAGCACTAAAGAAAGAGACATAAGGAATGACATTTATGGAACCATTTTGCATATTCAGCAGATCTAAAACCTGAGGGAAAACGTCAGATTCTTAGTTCAAACAAACCTTGTAAAAAGGTGTAACTGATACTTAATGCATCAATTAAATCGACTAAGTTTGATACTTGCGTATGTCTGAAAAAGATTCCTGATGCAATCTTAAGGCCCCAAGATCTTGCTGAAGTTGGTTGATGAAAAAGAGCTAGTTTGAGTCAGAATCACTTGATGAATGAAAAGGACTAGGCCGGAGCCTGGCACGAGCTTTGGTATCCTGGAGCGTTTCTCACATCTTCATCTTAGCATCTCACTGAACCACCGAACAGGGCGGGTCACATGGAGTGTGGCCTTTTAAAGCCTGCAGAGATTCACGCCTCTCAAGATGGGTTCGTCCAATGAGGAAGGCTGAAATCCCAAGCGGGAGGTTGGAAATACTGAGGATTTTTATGACTCTTTGTCTGTAAGCATGGTATTTTGCATATGTAATTCGCTGGAGTGTTGAGGCACAAATTAGTACCGATTCTTAGAACATCAATATGTTGCAGAGGTATCAGCATGTAATATGCACTCTCAGTTAGATCATCCGAAGACGAATTCATAGATACTAGACATGGTAGAGTTACTTATATGAATGAGTGGTTTATCGTAAGCATGAATAAAAATAGTCTATAATACAACAGATTAAATACAACACAGCAATAATATACACAATGGCCTGAAGAAAATGGGTGTTCATTCAAAGAAGGTTTTCCTATGAATTAATTAGTAGAAAAGTCAGTTTCTCCTGTGCATTTGTGCCTTTCTTATGAGGAAAATGAGGGAGTTTATCCCCTGCATTCCTTTTAGGCCATAAAACCAGTGATATCAGCATTGGTTACCATGGAACCAGAGGCCTGTTCTGCCTTTCTGAGGTGTTAGGTGCATTTCGGGGGAAGGGTCCATAGACCCTCGTAATTGGCCATTTGGTTAGGTGATGGGGAGTTCGATATTATTTGTTAAATATAACAAAAAGTTGTGTGTCTGATTGGTCCAAATGCTACAAAAAC